TCATTCCACAGGCTCAGAGGGAGAAGCTGTGTTAGGCCTGCTGGGGACTGCGTGGAGGCCTAGGCCGGAGGAAGGGTGGAAGCAGGGCTCCTGAAAGGTACTCTATCCCCAAAGAGGGCACAGCTTGCACCTAGGATTAACTGGCAAGACTCACTCTCCCAAATGCACTGCACTCCTACAACTCAGCTTCAGATAAACGAGGCGAGAACAGGTAAAAAACAAACTATCCAATATCTCAGTCTATAAAGTCAGTGAGTGGCCCAGATTGGAGTTCACGTGCTCCCAATGCTGGACCTTAGTGATAAGACTTATTAGCAAGAAACCAGTGTAGATTTGTTTTGGGGTATGTATGTGTATATGGAGGGGGTGCTGGAAGGCATAAGGAATATTACTCCCCATAAAGGTTGTTCTTTTCTGTGACAGGGGTCAGACCTAGCTCCCCCCTTCAGGAAACACCTATCAATGTGCGTGACAGTTTACAGAGAGCTAATGACCTTCCAGAAAACAGAGGTGAGGGCTCTGCTTGCCTCTGGCTTGGGTTATTTCTGGAGGATTTAAGAGATGCCATGCAGGAAGAGCACTTCCCCAAGTGGAAGAAGGAGATGACAGCCCTGGGCGACTGCACTGTCACCAAGAAGCTGCAGTTAGCCCTTCCACTCACCTGCAGATGAGCACGGATGGCAGGCTGACGGCCGGAGCCTCTATCGCAGACCTGTTCTGCTATGTCACATCTTATAAATTCACAGAACTCTCAACAGTAGAGTTCTCAGCCAAAGAGAAACCCCAGAAGAACATCCCCAGAATAATTTCCTTGCTGATTTAAAGGTACTTTACCTCAGATGGCTCCTAAACTTCATTTGTTCCTCTGTGCAACTAGCCTACTTCACAAAGTTCTTTTTCACAGGTTAAAACTGGGCTAATGCCCATAGAAAAACCAATCCCCTCCAGAAAGAAGCTCAACAAAGACACGGAAGAGCTAAATGCTACAATCAACCAACTTGATCTCATAGACATATACTGAACCCTCTACCCAACAGCAGCCAAGTATACTTTCTTTTCCAATGCACATGGAACATTCTCCAGAACAGACCATATATTAGCCATAAAGCAAGCCTTAACAATATCCAAAGCATCAAAATACTATAAAGCATCTTTTCTGACCA